TGATTCTACACCTTCGGTTTTATGGAGACTGAGATAAAGAAGCTGTCACAACATTCCCTTTGACCTTGCAAAAAAGGTTTAATATTTTTTATTACGTCATCCTATTCTAGTCATCGCAGAAGCAAATAGTCTCAAAGAAGCCATGAGTTACAAATGAATGGTTTTCTTGTAAATCGCTATTGAATTTCGCGGAAAGGAAGTAAAGGAACGCGATATCAATTGTGCTTTTCTGGTACACGAATATCGATTAGTCAAGGTAGCTACTTATGTAGCATGTAGATAGAATGATCGTTCTTAACTGGGCAACCGCATGGCAGCAGCCCGATCGATAAACAATATAGATCACATTTTTTCAAAGGAAGGAACAGGGCCAGAACAGGACAATCGATATCGCGTTCCATTACTTCCTTTACGCGAAATTCAATAACGATTTACAAGAAAACTATTCATTTTTAACCTGTGGTTCCTATGGGCCTATTTGCCTTCGCAATGAGTAGAATATGATGGCTTAATAAAAAATTGTAACTCTTTCCTTCAAGGTCAAAGGGAATTCTGCGACAGCTACTTTACTTTAATATCCATTAACCCTTTGGCCTACACGCTATCTGCCGATCGCGAGAGCCATAGTAAACAAGAAGGTCGGAATTGAAGGTATTTATCACGAGTCAGACTCGTGGTTTTCGCTTATGGCCAAGGGGTTAAACCGAAGGTGTGGAATCACGTTGTAACAGTAAGAACGAAATATTTCGTTCCACCCTGTATATATTTTGATTTATTCTTGAGTGATATTCTTATTAGAACTTGTTACCCTGCATAGAGGTTCATCGTTCCTTCGTAACTAAAAAATAAGTGATAGAAAATAAGTTGTGAATATAAAAAAAGGATTTATTTAATAAATATCTGTGAATTAGAAGAATTTCTTACTTAATTTATTTCGTATTAGTACATAAAGAGCCAGTTTTATCCTATATATGCACGAATGGGAAACGCGCTGCGGCAAAAGCGATGCCCAACCGCCGTCATGAAAGCCTGTCGATCGGTCGAAATGTATTGTAAGGGCTTTCCTGTTTGGGCATGTGGCTGGTGTTGTAGTGCGACGGGGTGGCGCCGGTATGTTTAGGGAAAGTATGACTGCAAAGTGTATACATGACTCCGAGAATGTTAGCTATGGATGCAAGGGACAGGATGCAAGTAAGAAGGGATGTTGTGAAGAGAAAGAAAGAGTAATTGGGGATTACTGTAAAAGTGCGTGCGAGTTCAACGAGAGGACAGTATAATGAATATAAGCAGTATAAATGTAGTATAAGGAATCTTCCAGTATAAAGGAATCTTCAGCGAGCATCGGCAGATGCACACCTGCTTTTATTTATTATTTACTTCAATAAACCTTTGTTAATGTTAAGTACTACTACGTTGTCCCATCAATCAAAAAAATAATGTAAAAGTAAAACTCTGATAGTTGTGGTTTATGTACTATAAAGAAAGCCATCTCTGGATCATAATTATTAAATTTTACATAAATTTACACTAAAACAGGACTATTAGCCTCACCCTACCCCAACATATGGACGTATGTGTGAATCTTATCTTTAAACAAATGTTTTTATATAAACTATTTTTACACCTATAACAGCTGTAAGTTAAATAAATTTTCTCTGCTATCTTCTTCACTTTTTAAATCAAAATTATAGCATTTTTAAACAATATCAATATTAATTATTAAATATCAAAAAAGCTTTGTACGGATTCATAGCATAAAGATCGACTAACCTAATCTTTCACAAAATAATATAATTTAATTTAACAATATAATCACTATTTATTTTTATAGTTTAGCTCCAATATTTTATAAACTTATACGAGATGTTTGATAAGAGAAAACTGAAGAGTGACGATAAAATGAAAATCGAAAGTAAACGAATTACAATTTCAGTTTCGTTTCAAAGTATTAACAATTCAACATTTTGATGAACTATGACGAACCGCCAATAATGACGGATTCACTATGTACAAATTATTCAGGATGTAGAGTCAAAGATTAGCACGCTACTATTAATGAAATTTCGTAATTAATAACTTAAAAATGAAGCCAAAATCGCAATATTTGTACTATTGCTTTTGTGCATCGTATTATCAAGTACTTTGTATATTTCATTAATATAATAATTTTATATTTCACTTTATTTCATTTTTGTTGTATTTTCAAGTCTGTATGAAAAAAAACGAGAACACAAATTCTTTAACTCCTCGTTCGCCATCTTTGATTTCTCGTCTTATAAATACTACAAAATCTTTAATTGATCAGTTTTTAATTGATCAGCTGACCAATTAAAAACACCGGATTTGTGATCATCCGTCCATAACTCGAAGCAAGGTATGCTTAACTGGGAAGCACTGATTCTGGCTAACCAATATCTGTGAGTCCTCAAATCCTCTGATGGTGCCAACTACAATGCTAGTAAAACGTCGGGAAACAATTCGTAATGGACACGGCTTACTTCCGGAAACTTTGAACACTTCTCATAATATTTCTGGCCGTAAAAACCTCAAACAAATCGTACTACCAAGTCAATAATAACCAAATTTAAATACCGCGTTCTATTATATATAATCTAATCAATTATAATAAACTTAATTTTAATTCACAAAACAACCGCATAAACTTTTTTCGGTACCCAATACTTTAACATCCATTATCATGAATTTTCAATATTATATCTCTCCAAAATACGTACTCTATTCGTCCTATCATTTGAACGTGTTACTTCATCTAGTTTTGCTTTTTGTTGGTTCATGAGAGCTAAAATTGTTTCGACTAGTATGTTAAAATATTTCATTTGTATTAAGACATACTCATTGGTCATCACAGTCGGTAATTCTATGCATAAGGTTTCTAGAATACTCGATATAAAATTCTGTAAATAACATTTAATTTACATAAAATATATCGACTATTTATACACTATACGAACTTCGAAATCTTGTAATGTTAACCCCATATCTTTATGGACCATCGCAATATAACCAAGAAGATAGTTTCTCTGAATAGGTTTATCTTGATAATTTACAAATAGAGTAGATATAATGTCATAAATAACAGTAAACTTTTTTTTAACTTTAGCTTCACGTACAAATTCTGGTATCATTTCGTCTTCAAAATATTTTGCATATTGAGGATGATTTCTAAAAAGTCTGCAAATTAATGAATATCAATAATATTAACATATATGTAATTGAATTTATGCAACCCAATGCTTTAAGTAAGAACAATAAAATAGAAAATAATTACATTGTACAAGTCGCGAATCCGTAATATACGGTATCCTTTTCTATAATTTGCCAAATTGTCTTTATTATTTCAAAATCTTTGCACTTAATCTCAGAAATTTTGTTGCAATCTTTTTTAATTTTTGTTAATTTGAATATTTTATTTACGTTTCCCATTTCTTTCACTTTCATGTAGGATATTTTGACACATGTAATAATTATACAAATGAAAATCAGATTAAAGTACAAGCAATAAAAGAAGACATTCGCTTTAATATTCGGATGTTACGTGTTAAAGAGTTTATGAAAATAATAACAAAGCTTGTACAAAGACGATCTCTTCATATAACCACGAAAAAGAGAAGTGACAAATATTTATCAAAAACTTTAATTTCTATGGAATAAATATAATAAAGTAACCTCATATTCACAGATGAAAATAAATTTAACAGGTTCACTGTTTACGCTTTGGAAGCGGTTCATCCATACATATCGGGCAAAGCAATTGGGCATACAATGTATATTTCACAGTAGGTATGTATGTATGTATGTATATATATATATATATATATGTATATTTCTTCGGCCACGCGTGTCGTTTATGTTTATAAGTGAATATGGCATAAATCAACGGTATTAATTAAGCATAAATCGTGACCTTATATATAATGCACAAGATAGTGAACGTATTAACCGTTCAGGATTCAACAGTTACAAATAGTGTAACTACGGAACCATAAAGTAAATACTTAGATTGAAAGTCGAATGGCAGATTTAAAACATATTACAACAGTAAGAGTAGAGTAGGCTCATTAATGTTTATGGATTAGATTGTAGATCAAATCAAATGTTTGTTCATTTAAGAAAAAATTCAACAAAATATATAAGTATGATATTTTTAATTTTTACCAGGACACTGATTTAAAAAATGAACAGGAATTGATAAAATATAATATTATAAACTATCTAAAAAATATACATCCTTTGCCACAATTGTCACACTTAAATTGTATAAAATATAAAGAATTTATGGGGTTTACTATACTGCAATATTTTGAAAAACCTCATAAGAGTAAGGTGAAAGCTAAAGTACCCATAATAACGAAAAAATAGAAGACTTTTTACATGTCTATTTGAGAAAAATTACTTCTAATATACTACAAACGTTCACAGTATGTTATTAATAGAAGTTATATACAGGGTGTCCCCTTTTTTTCTATAAATGCGATTATTGAAGTAATTTGATACACTTAAATATTATGTCTCTACATGGACATGAGTAAGAAATATGGAGGTCATTATTGTTTTTTTCAAACATAATCCTGTAATCTTCTTGCATCAATCGATAAAAATGTTAATTTATCTACATCCAAAACCCATCAAAATAAAAATAATTAGATTTCAAGTATTTCTTAAATAACGAACAGTTCTGAAAATAATTGCATTTATAGACTAAAATGAGACCTCCTGTATACAGTAGGTACAGAAAGTAATTGTTATACAATATTTTTAATAAAAATATAATAGTTTACAATACTGATAATAGTACCATATCAGTATATTGTATATATTTTACACGAAACAGTTATTCTTTAAAGTGTTCAAATACTTTTACATATTAATTTATTGCCTGTTGTTAAAAAAACAGT